GTCTTCTTGTGTATTCTCCTACCATGCCACCCCCCTGTATTCGATCAATGAAACGAGTTGAAGTGTGTTGTGTGAAGGGTATTGTAGGTCTCCGTCGTGGGATTGTCTAGTTCGATTCGGCGTTTTTCGCATCGTCTAATCCCACCACGTTCATAGGCTCGTTCGCTTCTCAACGCTCATCAGCATCCACGGTGAAATCCTTCGTCTCTAATCTATAGAGGGAGGTCGATGCGAATATAATCCCGAGTGAAAGCGAATGGTACCGCACGTTCCCTTCCTCACTCTCCCAAAATATTGCAATGCTGACCGGACGCGTCCGATTCTTGCACGCAGAACCTGAGCCCCGTTGATGCACAGGGCTTCATCACCTGCCCTACACTCATGGCGTACAACACGACTAGCCAGACGAGTGTCCTCTGCCAATGCTGTCTCGCGTATCAAACGACCAGCTACTACGACGCCGACGGACGACATTCGGAAGCCGGACCTTCAACTTTCGCATCTCTTTGCACTGGAACGCTCCTCTGTGAAAATCCATCAGTTGGAGCCTCTGACATTCGGCGGATACTCTCCCGTCCCGCTCAGCCCCCTCTGCACCCAAAATTCGCGCAAAGGCCCGCAAGATCCCGGCGAGCCAAAAAGCGGCGGAGAGGCGCCCCATTCGACGATCCTGCCAGCGTCGTCCTCTCCGCCCCAACCTACGCCGAGCCGACCGCAACAATCGCTCGACCATCGTCGCTTCTCTTCCCGGAACCACGACACCTCGTCTGTCCATGGATTACAGGAACAAATGACCTCTGTCCCAAACACGCCTGTCGACGAGGCTACCGAAGTCCCTCAAGCCAGACAGCGCTTCTTCCACCATCACCTCACAGAGGCAATTCGGAACCGGCGCGTAGCAACAGCATGGTATATCTACGAGGCTCAGAAGAACCGAGTTCGGAAAGATGGGAGACGAGGAGGTCGCTCAGTCCCGACTGGCCTCATTCACAGTCTCTTCGCCCTCTTGGCCGGAGCGCATCCGCAAACACGCCTTCATTACGTTCGCATGAAGGAGCTAGCCGACGTACTGCGCCGACGAGGTCACGGAAACGTTCGCGAATGGGAGTGGAACGCCTTGATCAATGCTGCAGGCAGAGGGTTCAGAAAAACAACAGAAGCGGATTACCGTGCCGCGATAGAGGTCTTGGACGAATGGGAGGCAGATGTGCGGTTATCGAAGGACCTGAGCCTCTCGTCCCAGGACGTTGCAGCAGCCGATGGATCGACATCTATTGGCAAATCTACCCCAAGCATCCAAACATACAATATACTTGTTTCAATCGCCGCCCGGACCGGCAGTCACCAGTTGTATCAAGATGCTCTGCACCGTTTGCAGCGGTTTACCGGAAAGCTCGACGCCGTCTCGTACTTCACTCGTATCACGCACTACCGGGAGAAAGGCCAACTCGATCAAATCCCTCGGTTTTTAGAGAGAATGCTAGCCGATGGATTGCCTTTACCAGTCGACGGAGCGAACGCCATCATCTGGGCCTATGCCAGCAACGGACATTTAGAGACCGCACAGCAGATTTATAACACCATGATCCCTAATACTTCGTCATCTCCACCACCATCCTCTCCATCCATTTCAAACCTATCCTCCGCATCATCCACCAACCCAATCCTTCGCTTTCCTTCCATCTTAAAGGCTATCTCCGCCCTTCATCCTGACCACCGAACGTACATCATGTTGGTCCAAGCCTACGCTCAAGCCGGACAACTCGCGTCAGCGCTTGACACTCTCCAAGATTACCTGGCTACCATATCTGAAGACAAAGGCGCCCAAGGATTATCGGCGAAATTGGGCCATGTCAGAGCGGGTGACAAGCAGCTGACGGCCGCTTTCCGTGGAATCTTCCTTGGATTCGTCAAGTACGGCACCGCTGGTACACGGTATTCATCGAAACGAGCCTTCGTCGGGATGTCGTTAAAGGAGGCAGCTTCGGCTCTCCTTATGAACCTATCGTCATCTACAGGCCAGTCGGAAATGTCGGTTCCTGGCGTCGATACCTCCCACTTCAACACCGAAACGCTCCTTTCGTTGTTCCGCTTCTATATCGTCCTTACCACCAGTCACATCTCAGAAGCGAACCATCCCATACCCCTTCCACCCCCTCAGTTTGTTAGGACGATTCTCATGGCCTTCAAGAACACCGCGCTACCCGAGACGGCTGCACCGCTTCTTAACGACGTATGGGCAACAATTGTTAGCCAACGCCTGGAGCCATGCGGGAGAAAGTGGTTGAATCAGAGAGATGGATGGGTTTGGACTAAGATACGGCGCGATTTCAGTGTTGATGAACGGAGCGTGGGTGCTGGGATGGATAGGTGACGCGGCGGTCTCCATGGATGATCATGTTTATTCCTTTTTCGTGTGTGTGGGGGGACGTAAACTATTCGCATATGTAGAAACAGCGCTTTTTTTGGTCATCGACATTGGCGGGATGAGACTGATGGTCTGGCCTCTTCCTGTGCTTCGACCGCCAATTCGAGCTCACGTTCGACCCATTCCGCTTCGTAGTCACAACCGTCTACTGGACTTGACGAACTGGTCCGCCTGCCTTCCGTTTCGAGGTTTCATCGCAGTCAAGCTGTGTGTCCCCAACTTCGCTGCCAGGACCTGCGTCCTGTTGATCACCTAACCCTGCGCGGACTCTAGGAAAAAACCGAATTCCACCGATCAACTGAATAAGCGCCTTGGAGACCGGCGATAAACTCCTTTCTCTTGAAGTCCGTCGTTCAGGCGTAGGGTAATATCCAGGTGTACGGGTATGGTAATTTATAGGGCTTCGGACCTCACTCGGTGTGGTTTTCAGAGAGTCTGGGCGTGTCTGCAGCCATATTTCGGGACTCAAAGCAGCACTGACAGGACCGCCTGGAGCTTTAGCAGTAACTGGAGATGCATGTCGGCGCGGTGTCATGAGAACGCTTGTTTTGCCAGAAGGTGGTCGAGTTTCCTGACCCGCCTCGGACGACGCTTCGCCAGAAGCCAGAACTACTTCCTCAAATACATCCTGCCGCTCCGTTAACATTTCAGGGCACAGTTGAGTGTTCAGTGTGATTGAGCGCCTACGCGCACGACGGCGATATGGATGGCACGGAGTGATCACGTTCTCGAGACCGTATGACGGTCGTCGCCTGGCGGCACGGTTTGCTTTCATTAGCTCCGTTGGACTTTGTGAAGCTTCACTAAGGAGAGGAGATAGAATGTTTAATGAAGGATGGTTGGAGGCATGGTTTGTGTTTTCAGACAGGGGAGCTTCGTAGGGCTTTCTGGTTGGAATTGAGGTTCTCTTGTTCATGAGGGCTTGATTTAAGCATTGATAGACATTCCTGTATCGGTATTTTCTAGACTCTTTATACCTTGAACCGTCGCCTTCACGATGCTCTTTACCGTTTTTGTTCGTGAGGCTGATTTACTGAGATACGACACGCCTCACATCGTCTGTGTCCATCATTAATATTGTTTCTACCCAACTGACCTAGGGCTGTTACATTCGCATCCATTCAAGAAATTAGTCCTACACAGTTCGAGTGAGAAAGAGTCAACGTTTAGATTTGCGAAAAAAGAAAGAGCCTTTGTACTGCGGCGACTCGTCATTGTTCTTCCTGGTCATTACGCTCCTCCTCCTCTGACAATTCAGCCTGAGCTTCTTTCCAGGTCCTCCACGCCCAGTACTCCTCCCAGGTTACTGTTGCTTTTTTGGACTGATAAGTTCGCATCTTTATGCTTCTCCTGATGTCCTCCGTAATCCGACCGTCGTACCCAGCTTTCCGGATTGCACTGTCCACAGCCTCCAACTTTGTCCAACCTTGTGCTGGTGCAACGTCCGGAAGATAAGTAGCTGTGAGCGGTTTAGTGTACTTTGAGGCTGCTGTCCGACGCCTCGTGAAAGGAAGACTGAGGGTGAGGGATGACGAAGATGGTGTTGTGTCAGCCGAAGAGGAGGGGACAGCCGGCAAAGTTGATGGATGGGGAAACGAAATGTAAATTCCATGAGTTCCAACTTCCCAGTCTCGATAAGTGGGCACATCTTCAAAGTCTGTAAGAAGTGAAATGCTGCGAGATAAGGAAGCCGGACGTTAACAGCTGCTATCAACGACGAGAAGTTCATCTCTTGGAGGAGAGGATGGTGGAAAGTGGATTCTTCACCAGCATTCAAGTTTTCTGAGCTCATGCGCTTGGATAGGACGGAAGCGAGAATCATTTAGAGCACTTTTGGTGGAATAGGGGTTAGAAGTGTGGACCAACGTAGGATGGTCAAAGTGCCAGCAGACCTGATGAGAGCATATTCTTGAATGCCTTCTTTCAAGTCCAGAGGTTGAAAGCTTCCTATACAACCTCGAAGTCGCGGTGATGACGAACTGCTCCGGGTATTCCACGTCACGAATAAGGGGTATTTGGTATCCGGAAATTCAAATGGAATGGGTGTGGCGGTTGGGTGAAGATGGCAGTAAAGGGTGTCGAAGGCGTAAAAACAGTGTTCATCCGTGCATTCGCTCATGATTAACTTGTCGAGAGGTTGACTTGAGAGAGGAGATCGGAAGATAAACCTAGAGCCAGCCGCAAGCCGTGTGGGAACCGGCTCTCGCGGCCTCAGCGGACATGTGCAACGGTTGCTTTGGCCAGGTCTGCGTTTGATGGCCAGCAATCTTGTCATTAGTGGCCAAGTGCACGAAAATGTTTTCTCGAGAAGACAAATTTATCGCCAAACTTTTTCTTAGCTGGGTGGAATGCCGATGTTACGAAAGTTTGGGCCTTGGAGCTGCTTCAAGAATGGGTGGACTACATACCGTCTATGTGTCCGAGGTTGCTTTGGATCGGCAGAGCTGGATAAAATGTATTTGATGGAGGTAACTTATTAAGTGAGCCTGCGACACAAGTCCAAATAGGGGCTTGTTCCTCCGCTGAAGAGGAGACATTTCTCCGAATCGGTACAGTAACAAAACCAAAAGAAAGCACCGAATGGGATTTGAACCCATGGCCTTGGGATAGTTGATCACATGTGATACTGCAATCCCCTGCTCAACCACCGAGCCCCCGGTGCGCTATGCGTCCGATGCACGTACGGGCAACACTGTAATAGTCTACGTAAGGCTACAGCATGGCAGCACCTGCTTTTCTGAGATTATACTGCTGATCAAAACCCCTTATACTCCCCTAAAGCTATGTAAAGCTTCTGCAATTGTTTGGCTGGGTTTTACTTGTCCGCCTTTCCTGGCGGTGCTTGAGTTTCTCAACCAATTATGGTGCATGTATCTCATTGCTTTGTCAGCCGAACATTCGACTTCCAGTCCAGACGTCAATCCCACTTCCCACTACAACCCACACAGCAAAACAACTATGGTCTCGATAGGCAGGACCATCCGCTCATTACGACGAGTTGGCCTTCGTGAATGGTGGAGACAGCTGCAATACATCGGCGATGCGAAGAGCGGTCGTTTTGTTGGCATAGATCAGTCCGTCCTATTCTACCCGACTTTCTCGTCGAAGTGCTGAAGACTAATCTCTGGGTTTCGATCCGTACCATTAGATTCGGAAATCGCTACTATGAGAACAAAAATGGAGAGGAAGAAGTACCCGGTTCGTGGAGCAGCTTGGCTGTCTGTTGGTTTACTCAAGTCTCACATGGTTGGATGTTTTGCAGGCCGACACCGTTGGGTCGACTACGCACAAGTAAGATGCCCACGACAGAAGACACATCCCGACTTAATTAACTCACCTAGCCCCTTCACGTTGTCTTTAGCATGAGTTCAACGCAAGTCAGGTGCCTCCCGAGTGGCATTCCTGGATTTCCCATATTCGCAAAGAGCCACCAACACATGATCCTATCATGAAGGCTTACGAGCCCCCGTGGAAGACTGTAAGCTGCTATATCCCTCCTTAACGCAACCGGCTGAATTCTGACTTCGTGTCTGTGTGCAGCCGTATGTCGAGAATTTGACGGGCACTCGAGGGGCCTTCAGGACCTACAATACCGCCGCCCCTAAGATTCAACCTTGGGAGCCTAAGGTCTCCTCCAGAGGCCAGACTTCTTAGTAGCATAGAAAATGTACCCACGGCAGTTCTCGATTTAGCTTGCCGAGCATCTTACCTCTTGTGCTTAACGGCCGTAAACCTGGATGAAGAGTGTGCTTTGGGGCACTTGATTCTTTCCCTATGATAGCTCATCAACAAACCAAAAGTCACGGTCATTTCCCCGAAGGGAGCTGCAAACTCTCTCCAAGGTCTTCGGGGCTTGTAAAGCTGCCGGAGAGTGGTCAATGACAAACCTTGCCAAATAGCACGTCCGAAATCTTCGACGACATCGTACTAGCCTGCACAAGGACCAACTACAAGTATGAATTCTCAGGCCATAAAATCTTCATATCGAGCTACTATCAGAGAGCTAAGAAAAGCAGTAAGTCGTCCTAGGGTTCAACGTCGTGATGAAAGGTGCGGCTCACAAACACGGTACCTTTGCGCGACGGCAGTCCGCCAAAGACAAACGGAGCGCATCAATAGCATCGTCGTTTAGATCGCTGTTTGCAGCAACGCGGCAGGGGGATTCACCTGAGACTCTCTCGCGCGAGGCTGATAACCTCGTTGTTTTCCTCCGTTCTCAAAGGGAATACGATGTTAGTTATTCCATCAATACGCGGAAACGTAACTGACATTTTCGGATTAAGGAACTTCTCAAACGTTACAATCCTCTTCATGACCTTTCGGCAGACGATCACCGCTTGGCAACAGCGAATCGTGTGGGGTTAGACATGCCGAAAGAATACGGCCAGGAGTAAATGTTCTACATCCATGCCGAACATCCGCCTCTCGCGTATGTTGGCTCACGTCTAATTATATTTTATCCATCTTCTCTTCCAAATCAACGACCTTCCTAATGACCGTACCGAACTGCTGTTGTTGAATCTTGCAACTTTCGGCAAACTGAGCGGACCCTTAGCACCGGGAGGAGTGATGTGAGTTCGGCAAGGTGACCTACTTCTTCAATGGTGGTTTGCAAGACGTCCACCTCCGTTTGCAAGCCTTTGGTCTGTTCTCTAAGCTACACGCACCATCGAGTCGCTGCTCAGATACAAGCAAACGACCAACCATATGAAACCTTACCAAATTAGCCTCTTGCTGTAGGTCTCTGTTTATGCTTTTTTGTTCTTCGAGCTGCTGAGTCTAGTGTCAATGGAACGAGGTCCCGTCAGAGGTAGCATAGGACATGGCTCGACCGTAATACATGCCAGCTTTTTGACAAGATCATCCTGAGCTGGGTTGTATTTGGATATCGGCTTGAGGTGGTCTTTCAACAAGCCCAGGAAATTCGGGTATTTCTTCTGAATTACGTGGTTGAGGGCTTCATGATGCGGCCGACCCTCCCGGTCAACGGTCCTCTCCTGGGCCGCTTTCGCAGCCTCCTTCTCCAAAGAGTAAATGTGACAAAGATATCTTATTAAAGCAACAAGTTTAGTCGACTTTGTAAGGACACATCGTTCTCTTAAACTCTTACTGAATAGTGAAACTGATTGGCGATCAGACTCCGTCAGCGGATCCTTTTCGAGAGTCTTTCTCTGAGATGCTTACGTCAACTTCTCAAGGGCGGTGCGTGGCCGATCTTGTTTCGTAGGCGAGCGGCGGTCATTGGTGCCGGGGTTGCTCTGGTCTGATGAAACTGCGTAGGCAGGAGATGCGTCCATGACCTGTGCGAAATCGAAGCGCAGTCGTTTTGTCTGAGGGCAGCTCTCGCTCATACCGCTGAAGCGGATTCAGCCATATATACTTCCCCAACAACTTCTTATGAGTCAGTAATTCCATGTTCACTTCTTCTGAGTCATCTCAGACAACTGCCACTCGCTTTCTGTGGTCTATCGACCATTGTGAGTTTTCCCGAAATCTTTCGCCCTGCTGTGTCCTCACCCACTCAGAGTCGGCCATTTCCCTCGCTGTCAATATCAAAATACGCGGTCAGTCTTCTGTAGTAGGGGATGTGACAATCTGTAGAAGCCATTAAACACGGAAGTCGGGGGCTCATTCAAGCTTTCAAACGTAGCGAGCTGTAATCGTAATTCGCTGTGCTCTAGTCATTCGTTGTTCCTCTCGACTTTCTCCTCTAAGTCATTTAACTTTCTTATGAGTGCGCCCATTGCGTTCTGTACGACGCTGTTGTCTTCGGCAAGCTGTGATCAGAATGGTCAACCCCCTCGCAGGGTTATACAATCATCCCGGTCTCACTTTCTCGACCCTTGCTCTGGACTCCGTCACCATCTCTTGCAGTCTTGTGCTTTGCTCCTTTAGCTGCAGATATTTCCTTGAGACACAGAGTGGCAAGTTTCTCCAGCCTGAAATCTCACCGAATCAATGTCTTGACGAAGGGCGACAGACACCGCCTTTTGCTCCTCAATATCCCGAGTCTAAAGCGAAAAAGCAATGTTTACGGTGGAGGCTGTTTAGTGACATCGCATTTGCTCGAGTTGGAACTGAACGTACTAGGTTCGTGACGGCTGTCTCCTGGGCGGGATCGCCCACAGCGGCCAGGTTGAACATATTTCTCAGTTTCTGAAGGAGAATCGGATATCCTTCCTTCAATTGAGTACTCAGAGCCTTGCGGGGCATGTCCATGTAGCCCGCCATCTCCATCCTACGTTCGTCCGCATACCTCTTTTGATCGCGCACCAAATCCTGGTGGTCTCTTTCGAGGTCCAAAATGGTGCGAAGATATCTAGACGAGAGACCTTAGTTTGATCGGAGAAGTGCTTTCTCTGTGACGAATGGGGCCAGACCTAACCGTATCCCTAGTATTGCAAAGCGGTTTAGCGATACTCGAGATCTCTGGAAGGCTTGTTCAGTAGCTCCTCACTTCAAGTGTTCCACATCGCTAGCCGCCCGCTCTTGTCTTGAATGTTGACGAGGGTTGATGCTAGAGTTCTGACCGGGAGACATGGGGGAAGTAGGGGACAGATCCATGGTGGATGGTGGTCGCAGTCCCGTTGGAATTGGCGGCTACTTTAAACGGGGCGGCGAACATCTGAGCACACGCAGGCAATTCGAAGCATCGCGGCAAATTCCGAAAATGGGGAGCAAAACAACGGAATACGATAGAAAAAGAAAGAAAGCGGTAGATAAGATAAAAAACAACACATGTTAGATATCTAGGCGGCACCGTACTTGCGAGCCGAGGCGTATAACCGCTCGTAGCTCGTTCCGAGCTTCCTCCAATCGACCACGGACCAGAACTCTTTGAGGTACTCCTTCTTGCCCCACACTCCGTGATCACGCAACCAGCAGTGCTCGTGGATCGAGCAAGTGAGGAGCGGAATGAGGTCGCGGCCTAGGCCACTTCGCTCTTCGGACTGAGGTGCCTTGATGAGGGTTTCCGTCGCTTGCCTTATGGCCGGAGACCCTTTGGAAGACGAGTAAGTGTCGAGACGCATGTTCCCGCCGGAGACAGGGGACGAAGGCGTGCCGGAGAACGAATCGAATCGAGAGAAGGTGTTGTTTCGAGCGGTGGAGGCATTCGATTGAACTGCGGCGTGATTTTCACCGTGCACTTTCGGTTGGAGACCCTTCTGTTCGCGGCTGCGGACGAGCATGGTACCGGAACCGTACGTTGCGACTACGGCGAGGTCACCGTTGGTGTCGGCGACCAACCAAACCCAGCCGGATCCGAACTACGCAAAACGGGCGAAGAAAACGCGTCAATAACGGGGACGAAGAACAGGCAGAGCTGGTATCTCCACGCACCATGCCCATCCCGGCCGCGCCAAACGTCGACTTCAAGCCGGCAAGACTTCCAAAGCTGGAGTTGATCATCTCCTGGAAATGGGGGAACTCGAGCAAATCCTTCTCGTTTCCTTTGGCCGTCTGCTCAGCGGACGCGTTGTCCTGTCCATGAGTTCGGCTGGATTGCTCTGGAGGTTTCTATATCGTAGGCGCGGTTAATTAACGGATGCTGCTCGAGTTTGCGAGTTCGCGGAGGGGACGCACGAGCATGTCCAAGAAGAAGCTGTTGTTGAGCGCCTGGGATGCGTAATTGAACTCCAAGGCCTTGCTCCTGTCCTGCGC